TGTGTCCCGCGCTTCCTGCCACCTCGGGCCCCCCTCGCGCGCCGCCCTGCCCCGGGCCATGGCGGCGGTGGCTCGGGGCCGGGGCCTCCCTCGGGCGTGGCTCTGCAGGTGGGGCCCCGACTGTCCCCTGGGCCCCGAAAGGCAGCCGGGGGCCCCCCGTAACCCGCCGCTTGCTCTGTGTTGCAGGAGGGCGGGGCCGGGCTGCGGCCGCCACTACCGCGCCGCGCTCTGCGCCCAGCTGAAGCAGCCCTTGGCCATCGAGGAGGTCGCCTCCCGCCCAGTCCGGCCTCACGAGGTAGGGTGGTGACTGGCCTCTCCCCGGGACCCCCGACGCTCCCTTTCACTCTCCCCTCCGCCGCCCCCGCCCCCGCCCCCGCCCCCGCGGGCTTCGGTCCTAAATGGAGTTCCCAAGTGCTCACCTAGGGGGCGACCGGGAGCCTGGAGCGCAGCTCCGTCCTGGGCCGGAAGGGCCCTTTCGGGGTTCACAAAAAGGCCACAAGTGCTGAAGGAAGATTGCTCCCCCAAACTCAAATGTAGGCCTCTTGCTGAAGGCCCCGGAACTGTTGCCTTAGAGACAGACAATTCTGATTTGCACAGGGCTCTGCATAGCCCCTTGCAGGTTATTGGTTTAATACGCAGAAATGGACCCCATCCTTGGCTTCCTCTTCAGTGTCAGCATTTAATGTTCTGTCCTTCCTCCTCCCCTAGACCAGTCCGGTAACGTCTGTCCTATAATTCTGAGTACGTGCCTTGTGCCCTCCTCTGGTGAGTGCCCTGATGTGGGGTGGGATTAGTTTAGGATTGTGGGCATTTCCAGTGAAATGTGGAGGTCACTTTGGCTCTGCTGGGTGACCTCTCTGGTGCCACGATGTCATCTCGAATGGAGAATGAGAACCTCTGAAAGGTGAAGCAAAGCAGGGAGCCTCAGCGTCAGGGACCCCTGGTGAGAGGGGGCAAGGCGGCCGCAGCCCTGAAGTGTCACTTCCCTAGCAGGGACCCTGTTGTGAAATGGATTGTTTGAGTGAGCATATGATGGCGGCCGGTCTGCTTCCTGGGGTTCATGTGCTGAAAGACGCGTATTCTTGAATCATCCTTGAGGCGAGGTGGAGTGGCTTGAGGACCTACATGCGCCATACATGTCAACAGCTGATGCGTCATGCACACAGTGTGCGCAGCCTGAAGGCTGGGCTCCTTGGTTCTGTTCTTTGCCCAGACACTGCCTCGTAAGGAATTAGCTCATGGGAGTTGGGTCTCTGTGAGTTTACTCACCATCAAATCCTCATACTCTGGAATGGTGCCTGGCACATGGCAGACACTCAAAACATTGTTGAATGGATGCATTTTGTCCATAGAAATGTCTCCTCACCAACATGGCTTCCTCTGTCCTAAATGGGAAATGTAAGCAAACAAAGAAATGAATGTCAGCGATTCTCTCAGCCTTCATTTTCCCCTGTTTCTCGGCCCTGCTCTCAGCCTGTGTCAGAATCACTGGGGCTTGGTAAAACAGATTGCTGGGCTTTGTCCCCAGAGTGTCTGAATCCTTAGGTCGGGGTGAGTCCTGAGAATTTGAAAGTCTAAGTAAGCTCCCAGGTGACACTGAAGCTGGTGGTCTGGGAACCAGACTTGGAGACCACTGGCCTACAGGGTCTGGAAAAAGTGCTGGCTACAATGCTGCAGGCCTGCCTCTGCTCTAGCCTGGGCATGAAGCACAGAAGCTAGGGATCTAGAACTGGCCTCCAAGATGATTGCTGATCCCCAGAACAGCTGGTCATGTTACCCTTCTGCTTAAAATCCTTTAATGGCTTCCCACTGTTCGTACTGTGAAGGCTCAGAGCCTCAGTAAAGACTACGCACCCTTGGATGGTGTGGTCCCTGCTCTGTAGCCCCATCTCTTTCTCCTCTTTGTGCTCTGAGCTCACTGGTTTTTCTTTTGTTCCCATCACAGGGCTTTTGCACATGCCATCAGGTTTGGTTGTGTTAGCACCATATATTTCTCTCCTTAACATTCTGTGTAGGAGTTGTAATTTAACACATAAATCATCACAATTACTTGGCTGATGTCTGTCTTCTCCCATCCAAGTACTAACCAGGCCCGCCTGTGCTTAGCTTTCGAGATCAGACTAGATGGGGTGCATTCAGGTGGGATGGCCGTAGACAGATATCAGATATCTACCATACTCTTAGCTCCATGAAGGCAAGAACCTGTCCATTTTGCCTCATGATTGCACACGGGCACTTAGTTCAGTACTTGGCATATAGTAGATATTCAGGAACTATTTTGGTGCAACTGAATGAACTTTGTCTCCATGGACATGCACCACTCTGCTTTGCTGCTCTTCCCCTCCACCCCCCTCTTTTTTTTTTTTCCCTAAAGATTTTATTTATTTGGGAGAAAGCGAGAGAGCAAGCGCGACTGAGAGAGAGCAGGAGCAGAGGGGGAGTGGGAGAGGGAGAAGCAGGCTTCCCGCGGGGCAGGGAGCCCGACACGGAGCTCCATCCAAGGACCCCGGGATCAGGACCTGAGCTGATTAACAGCAGTTGATGAACCGACTGAGCCACCCAGGAGTGTCTTCCTGCTATGTTTCCTTTGCAGGTCAGAGTTGATGTCCATTTCTGTGGAGTTAATTTTGCTGATATTTTGGTCTGCCGTGGTCAGTATCAGGAAAAGCCCCAACTTCCCTTCACACCTGGTGAGTATGAAGGGGCCAGGTGACTGCTCGGGAGAGAAGCTACAGAGTTTTCGGAACTGCGTGCTTCTCAGGCACGACGCTGGTGTTGCTTGCCTGCCCACAGTGATGCTTCAGATACGTCAGCCTCACCCCTGATTAGAAGCACTAGTGAGCCCCTTGTGGGAAGGTTCTATGACTGTCTGGCCCCTAGTTTTATCCCCCATCTTAGTATTGTGCCTGGCTCATAGTAGATGCTCAATAAAGACGTTAACAATGCACAAATGAATAAATGAATTTTTACATATCATGTCCGGCAGAGTTCTGATCGGAATCCTCATTGGTCCTCGTCACTCCCTTTCATTCCTTGTGAGTGCCTCAGTATTGTTTTTTCACTGAAGGGTCATAAACATGTTTGCAGCTAAAACTCTCAGTCCTCACAAACACATATTCCCAAAGAAACCTAATATCAGAGGATCAGAAAGAAGAAAAAGAGTTTATACATTTCTAGCAGTCCACTGTCTGATTTTAATTATGCCCAATCTGATTACATTTAGCTCCTGAATATGTGGACAAATGACTGCTCTTTGTTCTTGAAATTTAGTTAAAGAGATAGAAGTACAGCTTATTGTGTATATAGTACATGTATATTTTATACAGACATACACTATTAAGGATACAGTGATTGCAAAATAGTTGCTGTGTTTTGGCCTTGGGGTGTTTTGTTGTGTCTCGATATTTGGAACCATTTCCCTCTGTTTGTATTTGCTGACATGCTGGATGGGGGGAAAATGTCATAGTTAATTGACTTATTCCTCTGGCAGCTCAAGTGGGGAATGTATGATCATTAAATTCAGAAATTTTGGAGGTGGAAGAGGAAAGAGCAGACATCAGTTCATCCAAATTGAGCCAAGAACTGTATGAATAAATACAGTTCATGTCCTTGAGGGCCTCACAGTCTACAAGAGGAGATACAGAAACAGATAAATACACTATGATGAACATTGTAATTGGGGTGCTGTAAAGAGCCCAAGGCCCCCGTGAGCAGGATCAAAAGTACTGGTGTACCTGTGATTCTCTGTGTGTTTGCCCATTCTTGAAATTTTCATTTGTAAATTGGTAAGAAGGTAAATTGTAAAAAGGGACCGCTATCACCTTTCAGGTTGTGATCATGAAATCTTAAGTTCACTTTCCTGTGCTTTGGGTACAACGCTCTTCCCTGGGGGGCCGTGGGGGGACACTTAAGCCCTCTCAGCTCTAAACAGCGGATGGGATGGCCTGTTGATCAGGCTCTTCTCGTCTCCATGGTGCTGGGCTTTATAGATAACCTAGTGTTTAAACAATTTGTTTTAGGAATGGAGTTTTCTGGGACTGTCCTGGAGACAGGCGCAGATGTCAGCACAGTGAAAGAGGTAAATGAGTTGACATCTAGGGAATTGATGTGTGTGTAGCCATGAGAAATGTGCTAACCTCATTTGCAGCCAAAGCGTCTTGCTTCTCTTGGCCTTTGCGAACAGACGCCAGAGGGAAACCAAGATGAAGGGGGAAGAAACTAATTCTGAATTGGAGGAAGGAAGCCGGTGGAAGTTCCTGGCTTCGGAAAACCTTGTATTACTAAAGAAGGAGCACCTCAGTCTTCAGTTACTGAGAGGATAGAACATTCTCAAGTTTTAGCCTCTTGTGAAAAAGATACTGGGATTCTAATGTATTTCAACTTTTTCCTTACTCTGTCCTGTCCAAAATGTGCTCATAGTGTCTTGGCATCCTGGTGGGGGTATTGAGAAGATGGTTGAATTATTTACTAAACATTAACTCTGAAGAGATGATTTTGGCAAACCTGTGTCTTATGGGTCAGGAAGAAAGATTTTCTTTCTTTTTTTGATTAATTTGGTAAGAGGTAAACGGCAAGGCCATGCATTTGAAGAAGCCCTTAATGGTATTTTCTCTTCAGGGAGATCAAGTTATTGGCGTGAGTGGTTTTAATGGTATGGCTGAAGAATGCATCGTTGACCAAAAGGTATCCCTAGCTCTCAGTGTGTCTGCTTGGAGATTTTTTTTCTCCTTTCTTTTCTTTAATCTCCACCTAGCTCTCCTTCCTTGTTACCCTTCTCTCCCCCTTCTTTGTATTTGTATCTCAGCCAAGCACTTCTTTCTTTCAAATGCTAAAGACTTTTCAATGTTGGAGTGACAACCCTGCACAGAGCTTTGTTTGTGTGGAGTGGTGAGATGAAGAAGGGCATTTTGTTTTGCGAGTCCTGGGGCAACTGGCTGGCTGTCCAATTGAACCATAGGTAGTTTTGGTAGAAAACCTGGTTTGGGGCATTGAGCTGGATATAATAGGTTTCTCCCCCACATCACGTTTGTGAAAGAGCTAGTCTTGGGTAGGCGTGTATAGGCAGTGGATGGCAGCCCCTAATGGTGAAGGGTACGCATTTTTCCCCCCACAGCTTTATTGAGGTAAGAAGGACATACAACCATCCGATTCATCGATTACAGTACAGTTCCATTCTCTGAAACTTGGTTCCATCCCGAGCTAGATGCCAGCCTTGGGATTTGTGAAGACCCATACACCCAGGTTTTGAACTCTGTCACAGCTTGCTTCGTTTTGACTTCTGGTGGGTTTCGGTTCCTGACAGGCTTGGTTCCTTTACACATCAGTCACTCAATCGGATCATAATGTTTACTGAGCAGCCTTTATGAACAGGTACATGTGCTTAATCCCTAAGTTATCTCTTTTTACAGAAATTGTGGCATATTCCAGAAGGGGTCCCCCTCCGAGAAGCTGCTACCCTGCCTGTATCTTATGGCACTGCTATTTTGGCCTTGGAGCATCGGGCATGCACTCGGCCTGGGTAAGAGGCTGTGTAGACAACCCAGGGCTAGTATCTCCTTCTGAGATCAGAAGTGCCCAGCAAGACCCTGCCCTTTCCCTTCCCCTCCCTAACCTTTAGCTGTTGTTCAGTTGGTGTCAGGAAAGGCCAAAGGAAGGTAGTGACCTGAGACAGGGGTCCAGTGTCTGAGATGGAATGATAGACTGTGAACTTGGCCAATATGAATTTGGGGAAATAGCTCTTCCAAACCTGGCCACTTTGGAGATCACCTCCTAGAAAACCTTACATTTTCTTTCTTTCTTTTTTTTTTTTTTT